TTAAGGCAGAGGATGTAGAGCTGGTTGGCCCTACTTGATAGCACCAGCCATCTCCCTTGGCGTCATCATATGTCTAGACAGGGGAAGTGATTTTCCCAAGTAAAATAAGCAAATGCGAGAACAGAACCCTTGGGTTCCTGGTCCTTGCCCTGTACTCTTCTCCACTCCAGAGTCAGTACTGAAAGAAAAGGCTTCCTTTGCCTTTCGGCTACGGAAATGTCTCGTTTGGGTTAATGTTCTTCTATCTGTGTATGCTACTAAGGGTATGAAAACATAAAGTCAGTTTCAGGAGTCCTCTCCTGTTTTGACACACTTTGTTCTATCGCTCCTATGGTGTCTAGCTGATTCAGTGGTTTTCAACCTCTGGGTCGCAACCCCTTTCAGGGTCAAATGACCCTCTCGTAGGTTTTCTCATATCAGATATTTTTATAACAGTAGCAAATGATAGTTATGAACTTGCCATGAAAATTATGGTTGGGGGCACCCCAACATGAGGAACTATATTAAAGGGTCACAGCAGTAGGAAGAGAGCGAATCCCTGAACTAGTTAAAAAGAAGAGGCAGTTGGTTGTGTTCGTACAGCACACACAAAGTCCTAGGTCCAATCCCCAGGGATCACAAACTAGATGTGGTGGCATATATCTATAATTCAAGCACTTGGGAGGAGGTGGCAGGAAGAACAGATGTTCAAGGCCACGCTCAGGAACATAGTGAATTCAAAGTCAGACTAAGCTATACATGAGATCCTGTCTAAAAATAAAGGCAAAGCAAAAGTCAAAAAAGATTCCTGGAAAATCACTTCATAATTTGCTGTGACAATAGTAAATAAACACGGGAAGGAAAGGCCATCCTTTCCGAGAAGCACACTCTTAGCTGTCATCTGTAATTTTGGCCCATTGGAGCCTTCTCCTCCTACAATGTGGGCCCCCGTAAATTAGAATCAGGTTGTCAGGCTTGGCAACAAATGCTTTTACCCAGTGAACCACCTCACCGGTCCTATCAGGGTGTTCCTTCCCTCTCCTTCTATATCCAGTTGTTTAGTTATTATAGTTTCAGCTGGAATTATATTGGCAACAGTTTCTGCAGTGATTGGCTTAGAAACTGAGATCACACAGAATGACTAAACCGTTTTTGAGAGAGGGCCTCGTATCCCAGGCTGCTCACCAATTCACTGGGTAGCTAAGGACGACCTTGAACTTTTGATCTTCCCGTCTCCACCTCCAGAGTGCTAAGATTAGAGATTAAAGGTATGCTTTCTGTCTAGCTCCACTGTTACAATGCTAGTAACAGAACCCACAGCCTTGTTCATGCTAGGCAAGCAGTCTAGCTTATTAGCGTATGATTCAGCTGAAAATTTCCTCACTTTTGTGGACAGATAATTAATGGTTCATCGCCACTTTTCTTGACACATGACTCAAACATTCTGGTCTCCAAGTGTTACCTTGACTACAAATCCAAGCGTAGAGCAGAATGGTAAATTTTTAGTTTAGCAAACCTCATTTAGAGCAGAATGATCCAGAGTACAAGTTTCACTGCGACTTGGTGGCTCAGTTACTGCTTGCAAAGAATCTCTTTTCAGCCTAAACCTTGCCAGTAGCCAGAACAGCACAGCCTGTCTGGCTTTACTGCTCTCACAACCAGTCAGTGGAAAAGACAAATTTGATCTGTTGGTCACCATCACACCAGGTATGGTGGCACAGGCTTTAACAGGTGCTGAGGTTAGGGATTAGAGGTGTGGGTCGTGTCCAGCATGGAGCAATTGGAGTTGAAGGCCAGTCTGGGGTAAGTCTCAAAACAATGCAAAAGTCAAGAAACCCCAAATGAAAACATCATGATCCCTCTCCCCACCAAAAAGAGTTCTCTCAAGCAAGAGAAGCAGGTAGTGGAGATCAGTCACCTAGAGAGTGCTCGGAACCTCACCTGGTGAGCCGCAGCGTGGATGTTGCGTTTCTCATTGATAATCACATTGGGCAAATTCCTGTCTTTTCTCGGTGGACCTTCAGGAGCTTTAATAAGAAACCTGGAAAGCCATAGTCAAAGGAGTATTCAGGATTTAGTCAAAAGTGCGGGGAACACACTTCAGGGTGGGCTGGGGAAACCGTGCTCTTTTGACAGGCTTTTCCCTCCGCTTACCGGCGTCTTTTTTTGGCACTGGGCTTCAGGTCCATCCCGCCCCACTCTCCCCAGCCAGGCAAGGTCAGGTCCAAGTCCTTTGGCTTATTGGCCTGGATAGTTTCCCTCTTCTCTTTTAGAAACTCCTTGATGACATCATCTCCGGCAAAAGCTTCCTTTATCATTTGCTTTTGGTCTCTCTCCACTTCATCTTCCTGGGAAGAAATAAGAGCAAGAACTGAAACTTGTCTTGCAAGTGCTTCACAAGGAGACCGAATCCTGGGTTGTGACATCTTAGCGCCCCCTAGGGGGAAGTGCTGAAAGAATGATCGATTCGCAATAGGAACCAATCAGGCAATCATGCTCCAATTTCTTTCTCTCTAGGGCGACACAATTTAAACCCTTCAATAAGGAAGTTTTAGGGTGGGAGAAAAGATGGCCAGGGTCAAAACAGAATCTCCAAGTGTGGCCGGAATGTGAGCTCCAGCAGCTTTATATCCCAGGAAAAGCAGATAGGTCTTGCTAGTTTTAATTACTTAAATTTGGGGTTGGGGCTGAGGGCAAACCACTGGTGGTCGGAAGTGTGGGGAACTTTAGCGGTAACTCAGAACTGAACTTTGAGTTCTCGTGCCTGAGATCTAGCCAGAGTTTTCAGTAACTAACTCCTCCATTGAGACCTGGTCGACAGTCACCCCAGAGAGCTTTAGTGGCCCAGAATTTAGGCTGCTTGTGTGGCTCAGCTGTGTGCATATATCTGCATCTGTTAAACTGACACTTGAGGCCCACCAGGCACCATGGTAATCTGGAATTCTTAACTCCTGAACCGTCTTCCCAGCAATACCAACTTTCACGGACTGGATGTGTAAGAAGGACTCGTTCTGTTCCAGCTCTGGCCCCTACAAGCCCAAGACCCTGGCTCTACTCACCTGCTCCTCTACTGTTGTGGGAACAGCCACTGATGTCACAGAAGGAGTTCTTGTAGTCAGGAGTTTCTGTAGACTGATCATTTGCTCCTTCTTCTTCCCCTTCAATTCTTCTTGTGGCTTCCTCCTTACCTGCTCCCCTTTTACTGCAGCTCCAGGGAGCTCCTTATTAGGAAGATAGTCCTCTTTACCTAGCTCTTCTAGTTCCTCCAGAGTTTGTACTCTCTCTGGCCTCTGCAGCAACAGAGGCTCCTCTTCCTCTGGGGCAGGTTCCTCTTCCTGGACCAGGAGAACTGTCTTTGCTGGACTCTCTTTTGGCTTCTTGGACAGACGATTGTCCTTACTGAGTTTCTGAGACAGTGCCTTCAGTTCAGATAATACCTCCTTGGTTGCAGAATCTGGAGGGAAAAAAAATAAAGCTGTCAGAAGTTTGGAAGTTTCCCAGTTAAGGAGTATTTGCCAAGCAACTACTGAGTGCCAAGAAGCATGAAATACACTTTAATAAGGACAAACAGGGTCCTATTTCCCAGGTGACTGCTAATGTCTGGGACTGGGGCTTAACTTCCCTGCACAGTCAACTCTACTTGGAAAGATCACTCAGAATTCTTTTTAGTTGTTTTTAAAGTGTGGTACTGGAGCTCAAACCCGAAGCCTGGCATTGCTTTTAAATACTGTCATAGGTTAGGGGTGTGGCTCAGTTGGTAGAACAATTGCCGAATAAGCATGAGGCTCCAGGTTCAGTTTCTAGCACTGTATAAAACTAGTCACTGAGGCACACATTTGTGGTCCCAGTACTCAGTAGGCGGAGGCAAGGGCGTCAGAAGTTCAAGGTCATCCTTGACACGTAGTAAGTTTAAGGCCAGCATGGGATATATGAAATCGTATTTAAGAAAAAATTCAAGCAGCCTCTGGGGCAAGAATATTATTTATAGAAAATCTCATCATGGAACTGAGGAGAGCTGGGCAGTGGTGGCACGTGCTTTTGATCCCAGCACTTAGGAGGCAGAGGAGTACAGATTTCTGAATTCAAGGCCAGCCTGATCTACAAATTGAGTTCCAGGACAGCCAGGGCATCACAGAGAAGCATCTTGAAAAACAAACAAACAAAAAAATAAGAAACCCATTCCCAGCACTACAATAAATAAACAAATTTACCATGTAGCCTGCAGAACTATTCATTCTGGGGAAGTGTCACTCAAATACAGACACATAAAACCTAGCATTATGAAGTGCTAAAAATGCCATTTTCCCACTTTATGTAAGCAAGACAAAAAACCCAAAAATAAAAAATTAGACTCGAGACATTAGGAGCAGTTTAACAATTTCTCCAAGTCTACCTCTTATCCAAAAGTATGTATGGATTCTGACACTTACCATCTTACTTGATTGCAAGTCTGTAGGCACCAGCAATGCTAAGCAACACCTTTTCAAGGCTAGCTTAGTATATAGCCTCTTGAAAGTCCCTAGATGTTAATCACCATAGAGCATGTGCGTGTGGACATTCCTTTCTTTTCTCAGTCCAGACACAGCAACACGAAATTGTCCCTTCCACCCCATCACAGCTCACCTTGGCCACCCACTGGCTTAGCATCCTCGTTGAGCTTAGATCTTTTCCTAAGGGATCTTCTTTCCTCAAATTCTTTCAACAAAACATCTTCCTCTGCCTCTGGTTTTTCATTTCCCTCGTTTTCAGAAAACTCATGGGCCACAGGCTCAGGCAGTTCATTCAAGTCGGCCTGGACCTCATCCTCTTGTGCATCACGATTGCAAGTCCTGAGCATCCATGGATTGAGTCCGTCAGCATTCATCTGTGCTTCATTCACCGCATCAGGAACTAGGGCTTCTTCCTCTTCAGCGCCTCCCTCTTCTTCACTCTCTGAAACAACTTGGAGCTTCTGCGTCAGTTCCTTGTTCTTAGCCAACTGTTCTTGCATAGCTTGGCGGGCCTAGAGGAAGGAGTTCCCAGCACAGGCGCTTAGTCGTTAGTGACTATAGCAATACCTTTCCCCTCATTTCTTAAAACGACCTCCACTCTTGCCTTTCTAGCACTGGGTTTGTTAAATGTGTAACAACAATAAACTCAAGCTGCTGCCTTTATTTTTTTTCTTCAGAATGCTGGGCTGGAACCCAAGCTTTCACCATGCTAGGTAAGTACTCTACCATTAAAGCCACAAACTCAGTTTTCCCATTTCACTTGGCATTTCTTTTCTCTTTCCCTTCCTTCCTTCCTTCCTTCCTTCCTTCCTTCCTTCCTTCCTTCCTTCCTTCCTTCCTTCCTACCTCCCTCCCTCCCTCCCTCTCTCTCTCCCTCTCTCTCTCTCTCTCTCTCTATCTCTCTCTCTCTTTCTCTCTCTCTCTCTCTCTGGCTTCTCGAGACAGGGTTTCTCTGTAGCTTTCGAGCCTGTCCTAGAACTAGCTCTTGTAAACCAGGCTGGCCTCGAACTCACAGAGATCCACCTGCCTCTACCTTCCTGTGAGTGCGGGCCACCACCACCCTACCCACTTAGCATTTCTTACTAGCATTTACTGTTTAAATAGTACACATAAAATAAACAGTAGCCATAGAATAAAATAGAAAGACAAATTATTCTTAGGAAGCAACAGGTGAAAGACAATGATAAAAGTATAAAAAGTTTCTTCCTCTTTTGCTAGGTTTGCCTTGATGTTATTTTTTTTTCTTTCATCTTTTTCTACCTTTGTCCTGGTCATTTTCTCTCTGCCTTAACCTTTTTTCTGATGTCTTTCTATATTCCTGGTTCTTCATTAATCCTTGTGACTTTCCCCCCAATTCTATTTCTGCTGCCATTCTTGTGTGCTGATTTCCTTTTTTCCTCCAATTCCATCTCCTTTTGTCTGGTCTGTCTCTTACCTCCAGGTCATACTTTGCCATAATTGCCTTTGACTTGGCCCATTTGCCACTGTTCTGATGCTTAAGGCTCATTCGCTCCTAGAAAGGAAGGACAAAATGAGATCTTTAATGCCTTTCACGGATAGTTGTTAGCAAAGGTGTCAAAAGCAAGAGGCAATCTCACCATCATTCTGGCTTTCTCAATTTTTTCCAGTTCTTCCAGTGCAGCATTTGGATCGACTTTCCTCAGCTGCTCAAAGTCTTTTATGGCTTTTTTGGCCTTTCCTTTCTTCACAATTTTGTGGTACCTACAGGGTAAGAGAGGAGGTATGGGAGCTGAGACTTCGCTGAAACACAGAATGTCACATGCAAAAGTGCCCACGGGATCCAAGGGGTTTCCCTAACGCAGGTGCTAGAATGACTACCACAGTCAATACGGAGCCTTAGACAATGGCCAGGACTCTCCAACCCTTTGAACTTCTGCAGAGCAGACTCTCCTGTTCCTATAGCTCAAAGAAGGAAGTTCCAGAGAGGGAGAAAAGCAAAAAAAAAAAAGTTCTACTGGATTCCACGCTCTGGAAATTCAGAGCTCACTCTGCAGAACCACTCCATGGTCTTTTGGAAGGAGAGAGAGTAACCAAACAGCCCCCTTCTTGTCAATGTCAAGTATAAATGCTAAAGGCAGAGGAGAGGGCATTCCTGAAGTGACACAACCACATGAGGTTACTCTAGGAAAAGGTGATGCCATTCCTACTTGAGAGATCTTTTACATGACCTTAAACATCATGTTAAAAGTTTTCTCCAAAGGGTTCACGATTAACGACACCACTTGCTAATATGAGGTCCACAGCTTCCTTACTTTTTACTTTTGATTTTCTTCATTCTTCGAGCCCTGGCTTCATAGTAGGACTGCAGAGCTCGGGCCCTCTGAAGCTCTGCTCGGCGAATCTTAGCCTACAATGAATGACATTTACAGTAACTCCTGGACTTGAAGTCAAATGCTGGGAGAACCATGGCTTGCCTGGGTATGTGAAACGGTCTCCAACACTTACCTCTTCCAGGCTCATGGCTCTGAGGGAGGCTTTTTCCACAGGAGTCAGTAAAGGGTCTGTCACTGGCTGTTTGTTCTTATGCAGGAGGTTAAAAACTTCCTGTTCCAGAGGGGTTCTTGCCTTAAGGAGGTAACAAAACATGCCAAACCTTAGGTTCTAATCTAGCTGTTCAGAGGAATAGACAAAGCTTTATTTTATTCTGAATTTTAAAAATTTGTTTTCTTTTCCCTCCCTCCCTCCCTTCCTCCCTTAGACAAGACCTTACTATCTAGATCTGGCTAGCTTGAAACTCACTATAGCCCAGGCTGCCCCAGAAGTGATGGTGTCTTCCTCTTTTAGCTTCTCTAGTACTGTGATTACAGGATGGTACTATTCCACTCAGCTTGATTTGTTTTTGAGACAAGGTTTCTCTGTGTAGCTCTGACTGTCCTGGAACTTGTTCTGTAGACCAGGCTGGCCGTGAATCCACAGAGATTTGCCTACCTATGCCTCCTGAGTGCTGAGATTAAAGGTGTGTGCCACCACTGCCTGGCTTCAGCTTGAATTTTCTAAAAAATTATAATTAAGACAACTTCCACAAGGGAACTCAGGGACTTTTTAATATTACTTGGGCGATCATTTTCTGTTATCAATTTTCTTAAGGATTTAAGCATGATAGTCTTATGTTAAATGCTAGGAAGAGAGCATTACTAAATTGTCATGTTAATTTTAAAAGTCCAAAGCTGTCAAAGTGACGGTGGTGCATGCATGCCTATAATCCGTACACTAGGGAGACAAAGGCAGGCTGACAGCTCCAAGTTCAAGGCCAGGCTGGGTGACAAAGCAAGCTTCTGACTCAAATAAAACAATACAAAAGTAAAAAAAACCATTATATATATTTGAAGCAAACACCAATTAATTACCTTATAGTTGGGAATCTCAGGGTCTTATCATAACTCTACAGGGAAGGAGAGGTTAGATCTTAAGCATTATTTGTCATTGATGATATTAACTGGAAAATCAACCCAGAACTTTTTTTTTTGAGGAAAAAAATCAATTTATTTAGCTTATAGTTATAGCACATCATTAGGGAAGTAGACAAGATTGCTGAGCAAAAATTGGGAACTTGGGGGGGGGGTGGGGGTAAGAGGAAATGGGGAGAGAAAAGTGAGAAGGGGAGGATGGGGGAAGCTTGGGGGAATGGGATGGTTGTATTTGACAGAACTTTTTTTTTAAAAAAAAGATTTATGCCTGCATGCTAGAAGAGGGCACCAGATGTCATTACAGATGGTTGTGAGCCACCATTTAGTGGCTGGGAATAGAACACAGGACTTCTGGAAGGGTAGTCAGAGCTCTTAACCACTAAGCCAATATGACCAGTCCCCTAGAACTTAACTTATTTTGCTATATACATCATGGTCTGGCTAGCCTCAAACTTCAATCTTTCTGCCTTAGCCTTCCAAGTGCTGCCAGGTATGTGCTACTATGCCTGGCTCTCATCTTTTTATTCATTACCAAATAGACAAGAACAGCCATTCTTAGGTAGATTTTGCCTAGTAATTTATCTTACGGCAGGGTATGTGTTCCCTATCAAATATTTATCCAGCCTTCTTGTAATTCAAATTTAACTCTGCTCGTTTTCTAACTTTGGCTCCTGCTCCTTAGTTTCCAGTGACTTTTCAATGACAGGTGGTAACTACGAAATAAACTGTGCACCAGTTATTTCACACGTCAATCAAATATCCCATTTGCTACTTGGCTGACATTGTGAGGATGACTAAAATCATCAGGCCAATCAGGCCATAGTCCATCCGGACACAGCCCAAAGACAGCCTTCGCAACAGCCAGTTCCAAACCTCACATATTATGCGTGGTTTTCTTCAGTAGCCACATGCATCATGGTCAGTAGTAAACTTACAGATATCTGAGCAAACGCATAAATACACATCATCACATGTTACACGGTGCTATTGATTTAGCCATAAACCTATTCTACTGAATGGTAAAGGTGCATGTTCTTCCATTTTTAGTATCTGCAGAAGTGATCAATCACAGGCTACAAAGTGATTTATATTACAATGTTGTAATCGCCCTTCAAATTCAATTCAGTTTGCCAACATTTATTGATTTCAGCTACATTCCAGGCACTCGTGAGGGGTGCTAGGATGACGCAATTAATTAAGATAGATCCTGTCTTCATAGAGCTCAGAGCAAAGAGATACACATGCTACTAACAATGTCCCATTAATGGGTTAAATGTTAGAATGGTAAGCACACAGAAAGGGTTTGTTCATCCTGATTTAGGAGGTGGGTGGGTTAGAGAGGGAAGGAAATAACTCTTAGATTTAGGTATGGAGGCTTAAGCACAATTCTTTCAAGAGTGGGAAAAGTTCAGACAGATGGGCATAAAAACAGAGGTATTGGGAAGTAAGTGGTATGTAAGGGAACAATGCGCTGCTCAGCACAGCTAAAACACGAGGCATTTTTATTTTGCTTAAGTGGAGTGCTTTAGATTTGAATTCTTACAGTGACTGTGTGTGTGTGCACGTGTGTGTGGGTGTAGGCGCTCATGCCATGAGGCACAGGGCAATTTTTGGGAGTCAGTTACTTTTTTCCACCACGTGGGTCCTGGGGCTAGAACTCAAGTTGTCAGGCGTGGCACTTAGCATTCATAAGGCTGAGCCCTCTCCCTGGCCCAGGATGGATTTTTAAGTAGGAGAGTGCCAAGTGATTTTGTGGTTCAGAATGGACATGGTGAGTGTGAGGATCCTGACCAGGGCAGCAAAATCTAAAAATAAGAGAGAAAAAGCACCCGAAGCCATAACAGATTTGATCAGATCAGCCTACCACGCGTGCTAGGGAGGGGACAGCTAAGGGAATGGGTAGGGGTCAGAGGAGCCAGGTTTTCAACCCAGGTGACCCAAATGGGGAGTTCGGCTGTGAACTGAATAAAGGTGGCGGTTAAGGCTTGGGAATCTAGAAGAGTGATATCTGGGGGGACAGTTCACATGGAGATGTGGGCACGCCTCACCTACAGGCTGTGAGACTAGACTTTGGGAGAGATTGAGAGTGACAGCCAACTCACAGAGTTGACAAAGTAAGACCCGAAAGGCCCAGGAAAAGCTGGAGAAACCAAGCAGTCAAAGGACAGAGCGGAAAGCCAAGGCTGGGAGAGCGTCTAAGAACGCGGTTGTCCATGCTGTGGCCAGACAGGCTGAAGCCAAGGAGGGCTTAGGACAAGGCAACTTGGAGGCTCGTTATTACTGCA